CGTCCCCCACGGCAAACATGGGGGAGGGAAGCGCACACGCCCCCAGGGGGATTCTCTTGACTGTCATCCCGTCAGATGGCACCTTATTCACTCGGGGAAGAAAGAGAGGAACCTTCAGGCTGCGGAAAAACTTTCCTGTTTCATTTTGGGGGGAGGTGCTGGAACAGGAGTCCCACCCACCTCTCCCAGGAATGGGCACTGAGTGGCCGGAGAGAGCATGCGGAAGCGCCCATCGTCCGGGCACATGGAGGGCGCTGGCCTATGGGAGGAGCGGCGTATTTATTGAATCCGTTCAGGTGTGACTTGGGTGTTTGGGGGGAACCCAGCTGATCTGCCAGCTCTGGGTTACCCTCGGCATGCCCCCTGCCCTGCCCCTCCCCGTCCGTGGCTGAATTTCTGCAGGATCAGGACTCCTGCTGCTGATCTTCCACATTCCTGAGCAATTGCTGGCAGAGGACTCTGGGGACAAGGGTATGTGGGGAGCACCAGAGGCAGGGGCTGTCCTGCCCGTGTTCTTAGACGAGCTGCTGCTGGCTTGATGCCTGCATCTCATCCCCCTCCACCCTATCCCCTTAGTTTGTATTTTTATAAATATATAGATAAATATATATGAAGCAAAGTGCAATAGAGACAAAGGCCCTCGTTGGCCAGGGAATCTGTGACTCATCTCCCCTTCGCTGTAATGTACTTTGTTCTTTTGGTGGCTTGGTGGGGGGGGATTATTTCCTTGTGGTGGCTGCTGGGAATCAAACCTTGCTGTCCCTGGATGAAGTCGGTTCCCCTCTCGCTCGCCACAGGGCACTTCATCAGTCGGGTTCTCTGTAGCAGCCGAGTGCCAAGGCTCCCTGGAGCGGGGCTGCTAACTGTGCCAAACGTTCGCACCTGCAGGTGAGTCTCGTGCGATGGCTGGAGCTTGGGAAGGGGGAAGCGAAGCCCCCGGGCTCAAAGTCACTCCTCTAGTGGCTGGAGTCTGAGAGGTCCCCAGTGACTCCACTGGCTTAGAGAGAGGCCTAGCAGGGGCTGCTTGGGTGGATGAATTAAGCCTCCCACCCCCATAAAGTGTCTGCCCTGCCCCAGACGGGTGTTCAGTGCTGTATCCATTTAGCCCACTCGCTGGGTTCGGTGTGAATTTCCTTCCCCTGAGTTGGCAGAAACCCACAGCCTCTCCCCATACCTGCCGTGGCTTCCACCACGAAAAAGCCCTGGGTTAGGCCAGCTTTGCCTAACCCCCTCCCTCCCTCCCTCCTGTTCGAGCCTGACTAAAGCAGAGTGCTATTTCCCCTTCTTCCATAGGGACTAGAGACTTCAGAAGCTGTCCAGACACTATGGGGATGGGGGCCTTATAAGCTACCTATGTGACAACATCCTCCAAGGCCTGGGGCTCATAGGATCCTCCTCTCATCTCCTCACAACATTCACACCACTTTCAAGGCCCCCTTGCATATGCAACGTCACAACCTGAACCCGTTTTGTTCGGTTCCTAACTCTGGGCTGATCTCAGCGGGTGGGTCCCAAAAGCTCAGACCCCCACTTGAATTCGCCCAGTTGAATGGTGGTGACGGGAGCTAGAGTAAGATGAATTCTCTGCCCTAGGGGTGAGCCTCTGTGTGCCATATTGTACTGCAGAGGGAATGCACGGACCGACTGAGTCAGGGTATTTCCCCTGCAAAGGAGCTGGACGCTGTTCAGTGGGAATGAGCCTGTGTTTCAAAATTCTGACCCAGATACGAACTTACCCAGCGTTCAGGAACGTTCTGCTGGGGGGTATCAATGTGACCCATTCTAGAGCAAGGGCTCACTGGTATTTCTCCAAAACCTGGGGCATTTCTGGATCAGAGGGGCTAATCTAAGTTCATCTCTGGTTTTAACTTGATCATCTCCCCATCTCCAGTTTAAGTAGGGTGAAGGTGTTGACGGGAACATATTGTAAGATAAGTTCCTTCTCTGGCCAAATGGGCCTCTCAAGACCCACAGTGGTCCGAGACCTCCATACCCCTCTGGCAGATGATCCCAGTGAGGACTGAGACGATGCTTGTGCCTATCTCCGCCCCCTCCCCCCCCCCTCCATCCCCTCTCTTTTAGCTGGGTACGTGGGGCAGTAGCACTGGGGCTGGAAAGGGACTCGGCCTGGAAAGTGTTATACAAGTAAACCTGGTATTCGGAAATAAATGGGAGAAATTATGCAGGGCTTGGACCATGTTCCAAAGAGGTAACACCGAAAGCTTTGTGTCAGAAGCATTATGTAAAGTTGTCTTAAATATGCAACACCACCACAAATATAGCTGTATCTCTTGTACTGTGCGTCAGTTCTTCCCGCGCTTCCTGGAAATACCGCCGGGGTTCCTATGGAGATGCGATCCAGAGCCAGATCAGCTGGCCCCATCCATCTTGCCTGTCCTGGGGAATCCCTTGAGGAACTGACACTCGCTCCCTCTGTATCCGTTACCCTTTTTTGAACATCTGCTCACTCTCTGTAGGGGGCCACGGAAGAAAATGAAAGTCTGGAACAGCTTTGGACAGCAACCTCTGTTAACACCTTCCTCAAAGACTGGAAACTCACTGAGTGTTATTTAGGGAGTTTCAGCATCTGTCAGTCCCCCTTTTCAGGAAGCCTCGTTCTGTAGCTCTCCCTGCTACCCACCCAGTGCTGTTTGCCTCCCCGTGTTTTGTTGGGTTTTTTTATTGTTTTTTTTTTCCCTGGGCAACTGTTGCTTCTGCATTGGCCGTTGCTTGAGGCCTAATTTGAACCCAAGACGCAAACTGTATGTGGGGTTGGGCCCTTTGGAAGCCATGGGATGAGAATTGCTGGCTCAGAATGCCTCTGGGGGCAGAGGTGGAGATTTTATACCATGCAGTGTTTCCCCATTGCCATTTGATCCCTAATAAGATTCAGTGGTGACAGGCACTATATAAAAACTTATATTCATAGAGTTGAGGGAGCACTGGCAGGATGTTGGGAGTGTTGGATTCTATTCTGCGCCATACATGGACTCCTTGGGACCTTGTACAGGTCATTTCACACGTCGGTGACTCGGTTTCCCTGAGCGTAGAAGGGCAATCATGCTTCTGACAGTATTTCACTTGCAAGGGTGGAGTGAGGCTTGATTCCTGAATGTGTGTCAGCATGTAGAACTTGTCCAAGGGAAGCGCTGGCTCCTATTAATGCATTCATATCCCCTTTCTTAGCCACCCTGGGTGTTGCTACACCCGAGGGTGCATAGAACTAGCTGCCTGCCTGAACCGTGTCAGAACCATCTTTTAATGAGTCTAAGGAGAGCTGATAGAGGAAATGTTCCATGGTTTCAAAGCATTCAGGAAACAGACTGTGTAACAGCACTACAGAGACCATTCCCATGCAATGGGTAAATCACATCAGATGCATTAAACAAAAGCTGCTTCTATGTTTTTCTCACGTATTTGTTCGATCTTCTGTGCATAGCTACAGCCATGCCTACTCTGCCCCAGCGTATCCTTATGTTCCTTCCTGGTTTTGAATGGGAACTAGTTCAAGAGTGCTATCCTTTAAACATGCTGCCCACGTTCACTCTGGCTAAGATGTGGGGGAAGTTTCTTCGGTGGATTTTAAAATCCTCTGGGGTGGATTTTCTCTGCTAGTGTTGTGACTTCATTTTTATTATTTGTGTTACAGCAGCACCAAGTGGCCTTAACTGAGATCAGAGCCCCAGTGTGCCAAGTGCTTTAGTGTGGGTTTGTACAAGCAGACCCTGTCCTGAAGATCTTGCAGTCTAACTAGGCAGACACAGGGTGGGAGGAGAAGCAGAAGCACAGGGAGGTGAAGTGACTTGCCCAAGGTCACACAGCAGGTCAGGGGCAAGCCAGGAATAGATCCCAGGTCTCCTGAGGCCTACTCCTGTTCCGTGTGTGCTGGACTGGAAGACTTCTTCCATGTTTTTGGTTTTTTGTTGTTTTTTTTTCCACTGAATGCATCCGATGAAGTGAGCTGTAGCTCACGAAAGCTTATGCTCAAATAAATTGGTTAGTCTCTAAGGTGCCCCAAGTACTCCTTTTCTGTTTGCGAATACAGACTAGCACGGCTGCTACTCTGAAACCATTCTTCCATGCTGCCACTTATGTGTGGAAGGCTCTCCCTGAACTGATCTCTCAAGTCCTCCACGCAGCACTGTCATGACACCTTAAAGAAACCAGCCAGCTAGTGATAAGGGCAGATGGCAACATTGGCACTTAATTTATTTTTGTACTGCAAATGCATCTCTTTGATTGTCTTTTTTTCTCCCACTCTGGGTTTTGCTTATTGGCTTTAGGCTGGAAGAGCTTCAGTGTGGGGATCTGGGTTTTCTACGTGTTTCTGAAGGACCTGGTGCAATGGAGCCCCTTTCCATGCTGGGGCCTCTGTGCTACTGCAAAAGAAATATGAAATAATACTTACTGAGAATATGGAATAGAACATTGTTACTTCCCCTTCTTTCGTCTTTCCCAGGAGCATCTTACAAACATCAAGACTGCTATGAGCTCAAGGAAAATAATAAGGGTATTTAGTTGTTGTGAAAGATGCTGGTCAATCGCTCTGATGTTTCCCCAGCATCTCCTCCCAAGGTGTCTGAATCCTAACAGAGAGGGACTCCTTTCTAGGAGCAAGAGGGAAGCTCAAACTCTTTTGCAGACATTTGGAATGAATCTGGTTCTTAGGTACAATGAATGGGGTAAGTTTACAGTGGTGACAACTTGTAGTAGCTGATGGCTTTTTTTTTTTTGCTTTTTTTTTTTTTTTTAGTCCTGCAATTTCCTGAACCTCTTTCTTCTAAAAAAGAGAGCTTAAGTTTTCTAGCCCGTGGGTTTGTGGAGAAAAGCTGGAGAACATGAACCCTAAAGGCCCGAAGCAGAAGCCACACTAGTTAAAAAACAAACACACAAAAAACAACCCTCATGATTTCACAAAAAGAAAAGGAGGACTTGTGGCACCTTAGAGACTAACAAATTTATTTGAGCATAAGCTTTCGTGAGCTACAGCTCACTTCACCTCATGATTTGTGGGGCTTGACTCACAATTTTTAAATGTTTGAGGTTGATGATAATACGCAGCCTTATCCTGCGTGTAAGACCATTTGCAGAAACAATGACCTGTGCACCGTGGTCTGATCGGTTACTTAACATTTGCTCAGTGGTTTGAGCATTGGCCTGCAAAACCCAGGGTTGTGAGTTCAATCCTTGAGGGGGCCATTTAGGGATCTGGGGCAAAAACTGGGGATTGGTCCTGCTTTGAGCAGGGGGTTGGACTAGATGACGACCTGAGGTCCCTTTCAACCCTGATATTCTATGATTTGTACAGCACTTGTGTTTCAACATTAACCAGTGACTATCTCTGTGTCTGTTCTGTTACCCATACGGTGTAGCTCCAGCAGAGGGAGCTCTGTGCATCCATTGCAAGCCCTAAAATCTCTTTAAAGGAGCAGCCTCCGTTCCAAGGGCAATGAGGATTTCTGGGGACTTGGGGAGTGGATTAACATATCGAAAAGCAGCTCTTAAGAGTCCTGGGGACACGTCCTCCTTTCCTTTCCAATACGGATGTAAGTTAAGGGCTCACCTGACGGGTCTCATTCAGCTGGAGAGAGAGACGGGTATTTTTAAAGCATCTCTCGATGTAGGGGGATTTTGTCATGGGTTTCAGTGAGACACTTAGTATGTAATGCTTTTGTATTTTCCCCTCCTTTATTTAAACAGAGCTTGCACTGGGGAAGGCCATTATAGAAAGGGGATCCAAAGTTTTTGAGGTAAGGAGGATAATATGTTTAGATGTTTCCAGTATAGCTGCAGCAGAATCTTCCTCTTGAACTCTGCATGGACAGAAGAGGTGCTGCTAGCTCAGGCTGCATTACACCTAAGGGGAGATCAGTGCAGCTGTAAACCTACAGGCTGATCGCTGCACCAAGATGCACAATAAAATCCATTGATAAGGGGGAGCTGGAGGCGTGGAACAGCGTCTCTTCCTCCCCACGTGCTGCGTCTCCATGGCAGCCGCCGACACAAGGTTCCATTGGGAGAATGTAGCAATTTTCACTTTGAACCAATCAAAGCCCAGCGGGATGATTCAGCAGCCAATGAGGAGAGAGCCGGAGTGGGGCAAGAGGTGGAAGGTGCAAAGATCTACGCGTGAGCCTGGCGGTACCTGGTCGAGCCTGGCCCGGAGCCCAGGAGGCTGGTTCGGTTCGGTCTGGTACAGTCCGTGAAGTATCAGCTGTCGGTGAGTCTGACTAACTCGAGACTGATCCAGCGCCTGAAGTTCGGTCATGTGGGGGAGAGATGCGCTGCTCGGTCCAAGATGAGGTGCCAGAACAAATCGGCCCGGCCCAGAAGTTATTGAATCTTTGAAGGGCTTCCCCAAGGACGGACTACCGGTTCCGAGCCGAACCGGGCCATATAACGTTATTTGGAGAAAGAAGGTGAGGCCCAATTCAAACACTGCTGACAACAAATAACTTTCTCCAGGAAAAGGGGAGACCAGAACCCAGCAGAGCCAGGCCAGTGCATCAAGCGAAGGAGAGATCAGAAGCAGAGGGCCAGGAGGAGGAGACTCCAGAAGCCATTAGAAACAGGTCAAAATACAGAAAGGAAAAAGCAACTGGAATCCGCCAGGAACTGGTCACGCTACCAAGGGAAGAAGGCACCAGAACTCAGCCAAACCAAGTTCAGGGGTCAAGGAAAGGAGAGAGCAGAACCCAGCCACCTTATCAAGGAGCTGTGTAATTAGAATCCACCACAGACCCGGGTCTGCTTATTAGAGGAAGGGGAAAACATGGCTCGAGAACCGGGTCACATTAGCAGATGAGAACAAAATGGACTGAATGGCAGAAGACAGCAACAGTTGACAGGGTTGATTGTTGTGGAGAAAGTAAGGCCAGGTCAACTTGCTTTGAGAGACTGGATTCAGCCGAGGAGTGAGTGAGGCTAGTGAGTGAGTGAGGCTGAGCCAAGGCCAGAGGGGGCTCGTTCCAAAGCCTGGTTGGGGTTTCTATGTGTAACCACGTCTGGTTTGTGTGAGGAGCCAGGAAGCAGAAGGAGAGATCACGTCGGACAATGCCAGAGATGACCCAGCCCAGCGATGTGCTAACACCTCCTCCCACTGCCAGCACTTCCATGGAGGCCAATGTAGTGGCCATCATCATAGCTGCAAGTGAGTACCCGTCTGTCTCTTTGTGTTCCCTTCGCTGGGGTGGGAAGTGAGGAGCAGTTCTTACTGCAGCCCCTTGCGGAGAACAACAAAACTCTCAAACGTGCCCCCCTCCCCCAAGGAAAAATCCCTTTTGTTCCCTTCTTCCTGGGCTTTCCAGGCTCCACTATCATCTTTTCAGCACTGGGGTCTGCGGGAGCGGGGAGACTCATTTCTCCCCAAGTGCTGCATTTACCTTGTTGTGCCATGTCTGTGCAATCAGGGTTGGAAAATGCTACTTTCTTGAGTTGCTGTGAAAGGTACTTTGGGGGAGGAGAGAGGGAGAGCACCTTCCCCTCCCCCTACATAGCTGGATTTTCAGAGGGACCAAGCACCCCTCACTCCTGTTGATTTAATCAGAACTACAAGTGCACAGCACCTCTGAAAAACCAGTGATGTGCACGGAGAGTGTGTGTGAGGGGCAAGCTCCACCAGGTGCTCTTCTTTTGGGAACATTCTGGGTTTTTCCCCCTTTCTCTGATTCACTTTTTGAGAGGCCCCAGTTAGGGGGAGAGAACTTTGCCTTTCCCTATGCCAGCTGGGGGCAGCTGTGCTTGCATTAATTGGTCTGCCTTGAAATGACCATCTGCTTACCTGGGTTTTATCATGTGGCCATCACATATTGTTCAGAACAAGTAGCATTGAAGTGCCTGGTTTCCAGGTGACCCATTAAAAAGCAGACACACTATTCCAGCCCATAAAGAAAAGGCAGGCAGCCCCTTCTGTCAACCTGTATTGACTCCATATGGTGGAGTGGGAAATAATTCCCTCTTGCCAGCTGGCATGTTCCATAAAGACTCCATCCGGGAGGAAGATTGGATCCTTTTGTCCACATGGGAGTGTGATCTCTGAGTCAGGGGGTCTCACCTGAAATGTTTCACAAATAAAATCTGTTGCAGATCCCAGAGAGAGACTGGATGAGACGCTACACTTTCTAAACATCGTATGTGGAAATAAATCCCTTTTTAACGTGCCTGCCAAGACCCGAGTCCTGAATCCCATATTTTTTGCTACTATATTGGCAAACACCTAAAGCTGCTTAATAGCAATACTAAGCCCTTCTAGGGCACCTTTCGCCAGATGATCTCACAAGGGCTTTACAAACGCAACTGTATTACGGTAAATTTCACAGCATCCTTGTGGGATAGGGAAATATTACCCTCTGCATCCACAGAAGAAATTTGAGGCGGGGATGGAGAAAGGGACTAAGTGACTCACTTGAGGCCATGCAGCCTGTCAGTGTCAGAGCTGGGAATAGAACTCAGGAGTCCTGGTCTAGTGGTTTACCTCTCTTGAGGACTGTGGGAAATGCTCCTTCTTGTCCTGTGCTTTATGTGTCAGTGATCTAGCCAGGGAGATGCAGAACCCTGAGCTCTGATCCTGGCCAGTGTGTCAGTTCTCTACTAATGTGCTGTGCTCGTCAGCCTCTCCTGCTGTCTTGTGACCTCAAGCCCTCTGCCCCTGTGTAATTAACACAAGATCTCACCTTCCAGCCCTCTCCAGGTTGCAGGCATGGAAGTAAGGGAGAGAGAGAGAGCCCTTGTGTGAAAGCTAGAGCAGGAATGTGGTCTGATAGAGCAGGGGACTGTGGGGCCAAGCTCCGGGCTTCTACTCCTGGCAATCTTCTGCTGATGCACTTCTTGACTTTGAGTAACTTGCTCATCCTGTTCCCTTGCATGCAAACAGCCTGTTTATGAGCTGGGAGAATGAATGAGAATTAATAATAATTAATTAATAATACCTAGCTCTTATACCGTGCTTTTCATCAGGAGCTGAAGGGGTGTGAGATCCTCAGCTGAAAGGCAATGGTTTACTTGCTTGTTCTGATCCGTATTAGGGCTGGTTCCATTCTGCCCAAATGAAGGGTAAGTGGGCACGGAGTCAGTTTCAGTACAGGACCCCCCACAGCGGCACAGAAGGGATGCTTGCAGACAGAGATACCACTCCCCAGTGGGGCTTTTAAACGTCCTTGGAAAGGAGAGAGGCAGCTGCTCTTGGGAAACGGGCTGGCAGATAGTTATGTGTCGGCCACCTGGCTCCTTTCCTGGAGTGCCAGATAGAGAAAGAAAGGGGGAGGTTTAAGGAGCATCCAGGTTGGTTGTGAGCTGCTGGGCGTTCCAGGCCGGGTGGTGAGCTTGCTTGTTCTCTCTTCTCTTGGCAGCTGTTTCTTCATCTGTGTTCATAGTGGCGATATTGGTGCTGCTCCTGCTCTTGTACCACCGGGACCCCCTGTGCTGCCAGTTCCTCTGCTCCTGCCGTTTCTTTCAGAGTCCCAGCCACTATGTAAGTATCCTGCCCACCTGTCTGGCTGTCCAGCTAACACACTGTGCCCTGACCCTTGCTTGAATCTGAGCAAATCCCTGGCATCTCCGTGATGTGCTGGTTTGGAGATGAGCTGCGATTTGGAAACCATGCAGTAGCCTGGTTAGAGTACCCTGGTATGGCTTGGTCTACCAGCCAGTGTGGAAGGGCCTCGTTTTTTGCAGTGCGATGCCGGACGGTGGCTTGGCCCAGTTCATAGTCCTCTCTTGCTGAATGATCACGGAGGACTCCCATCCTCTCTGCTAATCACTCATTCTCTCTCCAAACAAAGTCCAGCTAGAGGCCCTTGCGCCCAAACCTTCCTGACTGTAGAGTTAGTGATCAAAAGCAGCCAATCGGGGGCACACCATGGACGTAGGAGATGAGTATCCGAGAACACTCTGAGTGATTGACCTCTGCAGTGGTTGATTTTCACAGAGTAACAGAGAGTTCCCTCTCCTCTGTCTTTCATGCATTCGTGTTCAGAGCCAGGCTTTGCTGCTCTCCTCTTCACAGGGAAAGGGCCACAGCAGGACACCCTACTGTGAAGCACAGTGGAAATAGAAGACAGGGCCACTCTCTGCCACTGGTATGTCAACAACTTGCTTTATGCACTGCACAGCTTGTGCTGAGGGAGCCAGCCAGAGCCGGAACCCCATTGCTCATGTCTAATGTATACCTAGCTTCAGGGGACAGCTTTAGGTCTTGACCTCCAATGCCAGCAGGGCTTGGAGCTCCGGAGGAGGGGCAGTTTGGAAGGGTATGAGGCCGATACATACAAGGTAGGAGGCAGATACGCACAGGGGTACCACGTGCCAAGAAGTAATTTGAATTTTCCCCAGTCCTAGCTCCAAAGGGATATCCGCTCAGGGGAGGAGGGGCACTAGACTGAGAGAGAGAGAGAGAGAGAGAGAAACTTCTTCAGACAATGAAAGGCAAATGCCAGAGTCCGACTTGAAGTAAGTGCCATCACAGGCTGAACTCCCACTAGCAGATCGTGCTGGAAACAATGGCTGCTTTGCTGACTTTCCCTGCACAGCAAGAGGGGGCCAGGAGACCCCAGCTGGATCACTTCACCCCTTTCCTCTCTGTTGTTCCGAGGAGGTGCGCTCCTGCTCGTGGAGGTTGGCCTCCTGTTGCCAGTGAGATGTAAATATTCAGCAGGCTTCAGCACACGCACCTGTCACACCTGCTCTTTGTGGAGTCTCCATGTTCCCCTGCAGGGGAGAGCCCCCAGGAGACCCCAGCAGAATTGGTTCCTCCCCACAGGTAGTGAGCAGCTGCCCTCATGCATGTCAAGCAGATGCCAGTACAGTTGTGGTGAGAAAAGTGATCATGGCACCATCTCACGCCACAGATCTGCTCTTTCTGGCGATTCAGAGCCCTGCTTGGGTTTCTGACCATTGAGGTGGATTAGGCTGGGTAATAGTTTCCCAAGGGAAGTGGTGGGAAACCCTCTGTTTGGGAATTGTCAAACCAGTGTATTGCAGGAGCAGCCCTGTGTTTTCGGGGATAGGGATCAGGTGACCTGTTAGTTTGGCTTTGGGAGAGTGAGCTGCATACTATTCTGGCTTGTGCATAATCTAGAGAACTAAATTCTACTTCCCTCTTCTGTTGTCACTGCAGAGTGGTGATATGCAATCCAGAAAGAGCCCGATGTGAACCGCAAAAGGCACTCTTGTGTAGGGAGGGGCTGTTTGTGGTTTACATTTGAAATGTCACATCTTTTAGTACAGGACTTCAGAGGATCTTTGGAGGACCCCCAAATATCAGGCTGCACCTCTCCTTACCCACCTACTAAGAGGGGATGTGGATTCCTTTAGTCTGTATATGGCCTTGTCTTTGCTACAAGAAAGGTGTGTCCTTATCTCAGGGTAAAAGCTTTTCGAAGAGAAGGCTGCACTTCAGTTATCAGGTCAAGTTGGTGACTAGGGTTTATCTTGATCTCCAAACTCATGTGAAAACTGCAGGCTGCCTTCTGTGCACTAGAATTCTACATCCGGTTAATGACACCCCCTCCGTTTGTTTGTAGTGAAGACCAGGCTTGTATCTCTTCAGCTCTCCATGTGTTTTGTCAGGGTCCTCTGCAGAGACAGCAGAAGTGAGGAGCTGATATTTGCATGTAAACAAACAAGCAGGGAAATGTCTGTGGCCTTGTCCACACACACAAGTGGTACCATTTTAAGTCTACCACTCTGGTTAAAGCAATACCGTCCATCCCCCTTCCCCTACTGTGGACACAGTTATGTTGGTGAAAGGTACTTTCATATCAGTATAGCTTGCTGCCATATGGGAAAGGGGAATAAGCTATATGGGTGTAATGCACCTTTATAAGTTCAACCAACTAGGGGTTGTACCAATTTAACTATTTCAGTTTTTAAAAAATTGTACCCTGTACCAACATAGTTAAAGTGTACAAAAAGTATGTGTCGACCAGGTGAGAGAGTCTTTATGAGCAATAAAGAGCAAAAGTAAATCTTTGGTTTGCTTTGCAGTTCACCTTTACAGAGCCAGGGCTGATCTTGCAGGGCTGGCAATTAGGAGAAAAAAACATGTTGACTAGTAAACGATCAGATTTTCTCTGAAGTCATTAAGAGACAATGGGATCCCCACAATGCCCTTTCTGCAGAGCCACTTTGTTGGAGAGAGAGCTGTAAATACGCTGATTCCAACAGGAAGAGAAACAAAGAGTGGATGAAACATAAAACCCTGACCACTTGTAATTGGTAAAGATCACATGACACTTTTCACAAGCGTGTGAGTGATTGGCCTTGGCCAAATTCCAGTGAGGGCAATTACAGTCTCTGCCTCCTCGCTTCACCTGGAGATTGCGTGGAGAAGTTATTCTTTGCTGGAAGAGATGGGTATAGTTGGAGCACATATCTGGGAACAGTTAACTGCCCGGAGCTCTAATTCTGGCCTTGCCACCAACGTCTTATTGGGGAAATTGACCAGAGTAGCTATTGCAGAATGGCGTCCTATGCCAGTGTTCTTAGTCCAGAGTAAGGGTTTGTCTACACTTGAAAGTTATATCAGAGTAAGGTAGGGTGTGAATTTAAAGTGCAGTTGCTATTATGGAATAGCACCACATGAGGACACTTATGCCAGGATAAGAGTGCCTCATTCATGTGTGTTTAATCCATTTCCAAAGTGGATTAAGGAAAAGGAACTCTTGTTCTGGAGTGTGTCTACACCTGGAACTATCCAGAGTAACAACTGCACTTTAAATTCACACTGTATCTTATCTTGAAATAACTTTTCCTGTGTGGACAAGCAAATGACTTACCTCTCGTACTGGTTTTATTTATGCTAGGGGAAAGGTGCTTCCCCTCCTCTCCCCACACCAGCTAGCTCAGTCAAACTAGCTTAACTTGATTGAAAACTCCATTTAACACTACCGTACTAAACACAAGGCTTGTACTGGTTCAAGTTGAGTTAATCCGCTTCTAAAATACTAGCATATGCATACTGCAATGCCCCACAGCGCATTAACTCCACACTTACACAAACTCTGGAGTCCTCTTGCAAATGGACGACATTTGCTGCAAATGGAATTAGTTCAGTCTGTGGGTCGTATGCAGACAACAGCTGTGCCTCGCTGTTGGCGTTCTTCAAGCTATCCCTGTGCAGTCGACCATTCCTGACCTGTTTACCTGTGTGCCCTCCCCTGCCCTGGTGTCAAGTTCCCAGGATGACCCTTCCCTTGTTTAAAAGTTGCCCTCCCCTGCCCCCGAGGCCAAGCAGCAGGGCTCATTGGAGAACGAGCCGGATGACACCTGAGAGCCAGGATCTGGTTGGGACTCGGACTGTGACTGAAAGCCAGGCCCATTGCTGCAGGGCAGGACTCCAGCTCAGTCCTAGCCAGCAACTCAGGCCAGGACCAAGGAGGGCAGAGCCTCTGGAGTGGAGGGAACTTTGGGGTGTGAATAGCGGCCTGTCCGATGTGGTGGCGGTACTGTGTTAACTGAGCTAGCTTCTGTTCCGGGGGCCCCGTGGCTGCAGCGGATGTAAGCTAGGAAGCATTCCGAGTCTCCAGCCCCTGCCCCACTTCTCCTTTCTGCTTTTGCTCTCCGCTCCCCCCACCCCAGCCCCCCTCTATAGTCCCAAGATGGCGGCTGCTCCATGAAAGCACTTGGCCTCTGTTACATGCTAAAGCCCTGACCATCTGCCATTCCCAGGTCCACGCTGTGGAGGGCACATACCCATCTGCCTGTTTTCCTTTCCCCTTCCCTCCGCTGTCCTGCCTGGGAAATTCCTGCTCCCCTCCCCTCGAAACACCTGTTCCTCATCTCAAAATGGTGGCTGGCAGCATTCCTCAGCCATAGCCTCTTTACCACCCCCGCCCACAGCAAAGTCAAATAATGAAAATCCGGGGTATGGGGCTCTGCATGTTGGTATGCTGTAGCTCCATGTATTTCAGCACCTATCTCAAAAAAAGGGAGCCCTTCCCCTCCTGAAATTCTCTCGCTGGTCATCCCAGGTCTGCAGAGTGACCGCCTTCCTCTGATCCAAGCCCAGAAACGGCACTGCCCAGTGTGGGGCGGATCCAGGAACTGCTCCTCTGGTACCAATTGCTCAGTGTCCTCCTCTTCTTCCTCACCTTTGGCCCGCCACCGCTGAATCTCCTCCTGCTGCTGCCGCCACATCGGGCGCTCGGCGGTGAGCAGTCTACACAGCCAAATGTGTCCGGCTGTGAGTTCTGAAATACAGCCCACGCAGCTTCTATGTACTTGGGGCTGTCATCACAATGGGAGCATTGCTGCGTCCATGCTGGCCAACAGGAATCTGAAAATGGTGCTAGCCCACCCGCAAAGGAAACGGGGCGGTGAAGACATGGGAGTTTTCAAAAGTTTGAAGCCACCTGACTTCCCACAGTTCACAGCGAAAACAATCCCAGGATGCACCCTGCTGTGCAGTGATGCAGAAGACCACATTATACCCTGCAAGAATCATAGAAGTGTTAGACTGGAAGGGACCTCGAGAAGTCATCTAATCTAGTTCCCTGCATTCAAGGCAGGACTGAGTAATAACTAGACCATTCCTGACAGGTGTTTGAATAACCTGTTCTTAAGTTCCTCCAATGAAAGAGATCCCACAACCTCCCTACGCAATTTGTTCCAGTGCTTCACCACCCTGATGGTTTAGGAAGCTTTTCCTAATGTCCAACCTAAACCTCCCTTGCTGCAATTTAAGCCCATTGCTTCTTGAATGCAACACCCTCAGTGCAGAACAAGCTGCTGCTGTGGGTACATGCGATGCAAACTGAAAAACCCAACAGGCGTTCCGTATGCACGCTACTGGTACAGCTTACATACAGCACTTTATCAGACACACTGCAAAAAGCTTTTCATTTCCCACCCCATCATCCCCTATCCCCTCCTTCCCCATGTAGACAAGACCACAGATTAACACTTCATTTTAGAAGGTTACGTTATAGCCTAGGGTAGCAGCACACATTATATTGTGCAGCCATGACGGGCAGGGAAATTTTGGCCAAGGGTTCTAGGGCAAACTGCTATTTTTTGTTAAGTGCCTTGAGGTCTTTAACATTCATAGAGAACAGACCCCAGGCTTTTCAAGTCATATCTTAAAGGAGCACACAGGAAACTCAACCTTTCCCCCTTGTAAGGACAATGGGTGGAGTCCACCTTGCTGAAGTGTGAACCAGAGTCTTCCATGGAGGCCAGATATTTCCACCCAGGAGATGATGACTTAATGGTGTAGACATCAGGCTTAAAAGAAATAGGAATCAGGCTTGTCCTTTCTTATGGACAACTGGTTACCAGCCCTAATTCTGCTGGCCTGACCAGATGTGTGAATGCTGCCAAAGGGAACACACTTGTGAATGGTGGACACAGGGAGCAATAGCAAGCACTGAGCTAGGGATGGGGTAGAGAGTAACTGGGCAGGAAAGCCAAACAGAATGGGAGACCCAGGGGGGAAATCTCAGGACTGTTTACAGAGCTGCACTGTTTCTTGCTGGGAGCGTGGAATGCGCTCTTAAGCCACAGGCCATAAGGTCTCAGTACTATAGTAGAGGTGGAAGTGTTATTGCCTGCGGTCAGCACACTGAGCGCCTCCCTAACCCCCGGCACACTCACCGAATGCCAGAGATGGGCTCTCACCTTGTATTCATTTTTCTTCCTTTCCCATCCCCTCATGCCATATAGGATTGTCCTCCTCCATACTTCAGCAGTAACCAGCGGCTGGTGGGACCCCAATCAGGAGCACAGCAATTGGAGAGCTCTGCCGAGAATCCTGGGGTGCAGGTGAGGGTACGGTGTTTTCCCTGGTGGGGTGGGTAAGAGTGCTTTGGGGAGAGGGCTGTTGTATTAATTTTGATGGAATACATGGGCCCAGAGAATCAACAGTCTTAACGTGATCCTGTTGCTGCCCCAACATTAAAGTTTTAAACAGCATTCCGGGTGTGATATACAAAGAGCTCCGTCTGCTTAGTACCACGGCAAACACACCATTACAAATCTTTTTAACCCTTTATTAAAGATACAGAAAAGGAAAAACGGTGACATTTGCAATGTAAAGAACTAAGCGAGGCTTCCATTTTAACACCATCCCTTGTTCCCTTTCCCCTTAGCCACAGACAGGTTTTGGAAGGACCCCCTCCTATTTATGATAGCCTTTGAGGTGGTATGAATGATGATCATAACTGGAGCTGTTAAAGTCTGATCCGATTTTCCTGAAAGACACAACAAGATAAACACACACCAGAGGGGGGAGGAAAAACCTAACAAAGCTAGAAAAGGCAGTCATCCGGGTCCCTCTCACATCAGGACAGTTTTCAGGGTCAGGACAAGGCAGGCCCAACGGTGTAATGTGGATCTTGGAGTCCCAGGAGAAGGTGGAGGTTGCAGCGTGATGGTAAAGCTCACTTCCTGTCCACCCATCTTCAGCCAACAGTCGTCAGCAGACAGCTTCTGATTTCCCTCCCAAAGTCTTTGTCTTTTAAGGACCCCAAAAGGGAGTGATGGGCAGAATAGTCTATCCTCTCATTATTCAGCAATTAGGCCTAATTTCCAACACACCAATTTTGGCTCATTGATTTCCAGTCCCACACCCTTCTTGTGTGCCAGGCATGATCTTAACACGGTCCTTGTAGGCCTTTTTGTTTGTACCAGTTCAGCCTGTTTCCCTTTTGCACCTTTTCCCAGCAACTCTCATGGGTTATTGTGGTATTTTATGCACTTTACTAACTTCTTACACTTGAATTTACAATTAGGGTAAATTCCTAGGCCCAGTTATTACAACCGGGCAGCAAAGAGATCATGTCATATAGTGGAAGATGCTTTGGGTATGGAGGCCGGGGGAATCTTGGGGTGCAGGGGAGGGTATTTGGGTGTGGGGCAATTCCTGGGTGTAGGATCTGGATAAAATCCCCTTAGACGTGGGTGCAGGATGCCAGAGAGAATGGTCCTATTACAAAAATGATTTGGGCATGAAGCTCCGGACAGAATCTCCTTGGTGTGGGTGCTGCAGGCCTGGGGTTGCAGTGAGAACTCTGGGGCACCATCATCATGGGGTGCTGGTGTAGGTGCGTTAGACACAGGGCTCCACAGACAGTCTCTGGGGGGGTACTCTAAGCGTCGGCATCCTGAACAGAATTCCTGGGCTGAGGCATGCTGGGCCATGGAGTTCCCAGCAGACTAGGGGCGCTGATGGACTCGGACAGTCATATGACCTGTTTCCATGCTGGGCGGCATTGGGTATTTCTAGGGAGATGAACTATTCTGCGTTGGGCCCCCCAGCAGCTATCAGCTCCCTCCATGGGAGCAGCTGCGCTTGCCAAGCTACGAGAGCGTGCGGAAGAAGGATCGGCAGCGGGAGATCCATCAGCTGATTGCCGAGAGGTTTGGACTGTGGGTGGACCCCTCCCAGGAGGTGAGTGGAAAGCTGCTTCAGCTGCCAAAATCCTGCCTCCAACTGTCTAGAAGCACAGCAGTGGTGCCATCTTGTAGGCCTTCCCCCAGCATTCTGCCGTGCAGTAGCAGAGGCCTCTGTTCTGTCTCTGAGGTTGCATTTCTCTCTGGGAAAGGCACACCTGGGTTCCAGGAAATTCCCTGTGGTTACATTTCTACAGGTTAATGATTGATCCCTCCCAGTGCATCTGCAGAGCACTAGGAGAGGGGACAGGGCTGCAGGTCTGAACCATCTGTTTGAAGATGGGAATGTGACTTCAGGATCTAACAGGATTCCAAGTCCTCCTTTCCCCCTCTCCTTATGCTGGCAGCCCTCCTCGCTGCTGCTACTGTTGAATGTCTCTTTCCCCTGCCTGGGCTTGTTCATAAGTTATTGGATTGTGAGGCTTTGCCTGGTGCTCACCTTCCAACCCTTAAGCCTCCCGCTCAGTAGACTAGTGAAAAGCAGGTGTTCTGTCTGAAGTGTCCACATCCAGCTGAGGTGAGCCCTGGGGCAGCACCCCAGGCAGGATAAGTCTGCTGTACCAAATGGCATCGGTTCAGTCTTTCCGCACCCAGGGTTGACTGGGGCAGACTGGAAATCTGAGACTCTTATAATACAGTGGGATTCCTCGGCTGACTTCCTTCCTTTAAAGGTTGAGCCATTAAGCCTGTCTCCAAAAAAGAATCAGTGCAGTTGACCCTATAACAACATTTAGCCCTGCCTCCCAAGGGCAGGTTACATGTGCAGAGTGCATTACATGCACTTACTAAACCTCCTAGCACCTTCTGAGGCAGAGAACCTGAGGCACAGAGAAGGTAAGGGCCTTGTCTCAGAGGGAGATGGGGGTAGAGCGGGAGTTCCGGCTCCTAGCTCTGTACCACGCACCTTGCCTCAGACTGATTTTCTGTGCAAAAGTGGAGATGTTTTAAACACTTAAGCCCAGATCCCCACAGGTATTTAGGCTCCTAACTCCTCCTGATTTCAGCAGGAGCTAGGGGCCTAAATACCTTTCAGGATATGGGCCACAGATACCACAGTGAGGTGTGTATAAAAACCTGAGTAGTCAGCTCTGGCTTATGCTTATAAATATAAGCAACAGTTGGCATTAAATGCCCAGAAACTTATAGGTGGGGGAGGGGCATATGTAGTGGCTAATCTTATTTTAACAGGAAATTAATAGTTTCACTGGGAAGGTTTCCTGAGGAAAGGTTTTTAAGGGGAACGCTGACAGATCCCTGAACTTACCAGCAAACGCCATAGCTGGGGGTGAGGAGACAGGCCCTAAGAGTGGGTGGGATGGGCTGTAATAGCTGCATTGGATTTCCACCATAACTCTTTAGAAACTGCCGTTGGCCTATAATCTCCTCCTGCACACTTATCTAGTTGGCAACGTGAAAAGTGCTGCTGTTCTAAGAAGAGTTTAATGGATGGCCCAGAGTATTTAATTTCAGAGCTGTGGCAATGGTGTGAAAGAACTCACGTAAACCTGTTCTATAACATGGGGTAATCTTCGCCACTGTGTTTCTGATCAGTGTAATAATGGATTCCTCTTTCCTCTCAAATAGCTGCCACCTCCCTATGAGCAAGCCCTAAGGCATCCTCCAGCCCTCCCAGGAACTGGAGCAGTGTCAGAGTTACCAGATGGACACAGATTGCTGGACACATTCCAGGCTTCCATCAGCTACCAAACTCAAAGGAACACAGCTGTGTAGAACGGGAATCAACCCTGGAACACCTCTCCTTCCTTCTGTGGCAAGGACAGCAGGGCCTGTGATGTCTCTCCCTTCCGGCGGGGCAGAGTGGAACTTCATGCCTTCATTCAGTCACACAAGCAGCTGAGAACCACTTGTGCAAATCACAGGCAAAGCAGTGGACATTTTCCATCAACTCACTCCCCTACAAGAACGAAGGTGGAGTGAATACCAGGATCGATTTAGCAGCCATCTCTCTCCCAGAAACAGTGAACTAAAACCTGAGGGGATTTCTGCTCCACCATTTTCACTCTAGTAACCTTATCTTAACCAAAGACCAAAATAATCCTCAGCCATTTCTGTTGTATTTGAGGGGGCAGAGCAAAGGTGATGGTCCACTCAGCCAAGGACTGTCTCTGGAGGAAAGGCAGGGAGCTGTTTCACTGTAACATACACCTCTGTGAGGCTGCAGCAGCTACTGTCTCACACTCAATTAAATCTCAGAAGCTAGGCCTCTCGTCCTCAAATGCTTTATCTTATCTACTTCTTATGTTAAAACATTTACCTTATGAGGTACCAGCGGGAATCCTGACCTGCAAGTGACAGAATTAATATATTTGTACTAGAGCTGCTATCAGCAAATCATAGCTCCATGCTCCACATTCCTCGGGGATTTAAAACGCTACGTGGCGGAAGGCTTGTCAGTTCCGACAAGATAAAGGTTCACCAAGGGCTAGGACTCGTGGAGCAACTTGCTGTACAATCCCAAAATGCTGTAAACAAAGGCAGAGAACAGCTGCATTTCAGAACAGCATGAGCTGTTTGCCACAACGGGCAGCTGGGAAAGAGTTAATGTAACCACAGGGGACTTCACCCTGAAAGGTGCCAGGGTAGAACCATGCTGATGACAACCTAAATTACTCAGTTCCCCTTCATAAACAAATGGCTATTTGAATTCTGGAAATCGGATCATCTAATTTCCCTAGTGCTGATGTAATTGCAACTCTCAGATGTTCAATTACTTTTTTGTATTTCAGGACAAACTTTTAAAATGTTGTTTACAATGTTGTAGATAAAACACGGCCAGTCAGATCACAAGATGTCTGCTGTGTGACCAAGTGCTGCAGCCTGACAAGACTGAAGTTTTGTTGTTTGAATTACATTTCTTTCACCCTTCAGCTGATGAGTATGATGCTCTCACAGACTTCTTCACCCAGTTGGGAGTTACACGCTTTTTTTGTGGGGGGTGGTTCCAAGAAAGGAAAGGAAAATTCTCTTCTGCAGTATGTGGAACCTAAACACAACAGTATAGTGCCAGTGCCTGAGAACCAGGAAGTGAAAATAACTAGGGACAAAAATAAAACCAACCAGTTTAGTTTACGTCCAAGGTAAGTGAAAGTGCAAAATATAATTAGCATGAAGGACTCCCTAAAAAAAATGATTTGACGTTTACTAAAGAGGCAGAAGGCAAGGATAAGGATTTTTTTTTTAAAGGCCCACTATGCTAGAAATTATAGGAACAGAAGTTTAACACCTTCTACTATTAAAATCAAACATTTTCAAAGTCAGCTGGCTTTATTTTGTCACTGGTTCCCCTGCCCTTGCACAATGCTGTAACATGAGCATTACAAACATGAGGGACTCAAAATCCAGACAAATTGCTTTAGAATGAAACTTTAGAAAGTCATGAAAATATTTCTGTTGACTGTAGGGTTTTATTTTTGGCCACAATGTGGCAGTTTCCCTTTTGAATATGCTCATCATGGCAGGATTGGACATGGCCATAATTCTAAAACTATTTTATGATTCATTCAGAAAAACATTTTATTCTCATTCTCTGAAGCTGTCTTTTGGACAGGGAGCTCCTAGAGTTTCCTCTGCTACCTAGAGGACCAGGAGTTTTACAACAAAACTTCTTGCGAAGATGCAGGCTTCACGCAGTACAACCAGAGCTCACCGTGTGAGCAGAGCTGGTTGTTTGTCTCCCTAGACTTTCCCCTCAGATGATAACTACAAACAGTGGAGACAGCTCCTTCTGGTACTTGTTCGTGCCAATAAACTGTAGTGCTGGGAACCCAGTAACTCCTTGCATGCAGGTTTATAACTGTTATCAATATGCTGCAAATTCTTTCATTAAGAGGAGGGGGAGAGACAACAAGGATTCTGATCCCCACCACAATTTGCTCCCGCCTATTAGAAACAATGCTTATAGTTAGCACACACCAAAAGGCATCATCGTTAGACTGACTCAGTAACTCCTGAGTAATGATCCTGATGCTGGAGCCTTCAGCAATCTTGAGCCTCAGTTTCCCCATGTCTCATGGGAATAGCTGCTTTCCTATTTCACACGTTATGAGAATTCATGTTTGTAAATGACTGAAGATGTGATTATCATCATCCCGGTTTTACCAATGAGGAAACTGGGGCAGAAGTTGAGGCCCAATGCTGCAGAGTGAGTTGGTGCCAAAGCTGGGATTAGAACTCAGGTTCCCAGTCTTGGACTGACTGACTGACTGACTCCCTCCCACACCCCACAATTCCCTTTCCGGAATTCCCAGTGTACATCAGGTGCAGTTAGGACAGGAGCCGTTCCAAGGAATGCTGAGAATAAAAATGGCCGTACCTAGAACTGGATAATTCCTGTGCAGAAATTGCAGTATATCTGGCTGGATTGGAGCACAGCTGTCCAGAAGGGAAAGGCAGCTTTGCTGAGCCCTTTTTGTTTTACATTTATTCCACGAACACCCTCACGCTGTTAGAGAATCCCAGAACATTTATTGGATATATATTTCTACAAAAAACTTCAAGGTAGTCCGGGTTACCTTGTAACTCTCAAATTTACACCCAGTGAGTTCCAGGAGCAGGAAACTGGAGTCGCCAACAAGTCATTTCAGAGCTAGAGGAGTCCTCCAGACATCTTTTTGATTGAGTACCACATCTGCCAAGGTGATCAGTCATTACTGCATGAGGCAGCAGAGCCTCAGAGCATGGTGACTAGCTTGAAGCTCCCCACTTCTTTGGTGGGGACAATGTTGATGAAGGTTTTGTAAAGCACCACTCCTTTTGGTAGACGACAGATCACTTCCCTGCTCTCTTGGCTGCGGGGTGGTGGCACATAGACCTCCTTGGTGAATCGCACAATCCCATCCTCCAGAGCATAGAGAGTCTTGTTACAACCCATCCCCACCTGGAAGAGATGAACAGTATCGTGTTAGAAAGGGAAGGTGGTGTTTAGGTCACTATGTATCATTTAACCAAGTGGACCAAGCCACTAGTCTGATGGCCTGGCTTCAGCAATGGCCAGTACCTGATATTTCAAAGGAAGGCAATACACACAACACACTCAGGGAACTGCAGACAATTCTGCACACTGTGGGGGTGGGGAGGATTATTCTAATCTTGAAGCATGAGAACTGATTCCCTTAACTTCATGTGCAAAACTTTCAATAGTAATAGTCAAAATTCTCCAGTTGTTTACTAAATCTGGCTCATGCACTGACATGGTTTTGAATGAACTGTAGAAAGCGTTTGGTAATGAAACAATGATTTCAGGGTTCTATTGAATGCACCTGAGGAAACAGGGAAGAGCCTTGCTAGAGCTAAGGCTGGATTCTGCACTTCGCTGTGGAGAGCTATAATAGATGAAAAAGTAACTCACATGAGCCCCTGGATGCCAGCGTATCATCCGTTGGGTGGCTAATGTATTGCCTGCATGAACAAAGGAACCTGCAACAGAGAGAGATGGATTCAGATTACAAAAGAAGCATCTCTATAGCCTGAGTGCTGGCAGAATGAGAACTGCTCAAGGGCTCACAAAGCCAGCATTGGTTGGGATGTTTCCTAGGGAGGAATTATCCCAAACTCTAAAAACATTTGAAGTAAGAATGCTCCTACCAGGGAATACAGGGCAGTTGATAAGCAATGGCAAAAAGCAGTTTTAGCCTTTGAAAAGATCAGTTTGAGGGCACAAGGCATTTTCTGTTTGCTGCAGGCATTTTTTTTATTGCCTTTTACATCAGTTTTTTCCATCAGCAAACCCACCCTAATTGTTAGGCACTCAGTTACAGGCATCTGTACTTTGGCTTCTACTAAGCCTCATAATTCTCCTCTTTATCAATACTTGAAATGCCCAGCTTCTGAGCACAGTGTGAGGGGAAAGGGCACTTAACTTATCAGGTGCCCCCTAGGGTGTTCCTCCTCCCAGATTCCCCAGAGACAAGTTAAATTAGAACCAAGGCATGTTTCTTATTGGTAATTTCAATTTCCTGCACGTAGGCAGATCTGGAAGCGAGCTTGTGTTACTCTAGCCTCCTGCTGGCTACTCTCACAATGGTGGTTATGTACGCAGTGTTGTTGTAGCCAATGGTGGTTAAACCTTCAGGTTTCTTTCTTTTGCAAAGAGTTACAAACAACCCCTCCCACCTGAGCTCTGAAACACACAGCAGTTTCACGTGTAACAGTCCCTGATAACCAGGCAACAGGGGAGGGCACGTTCCAGAGCATATAAAGCAGCGGGCCAGACTGACTAACCGACCTTCTGTTTTCTTATAGCCATAGTGTTTCCCGGGACTGTGGCCACCAAGATTTTTTGAGCTGCCCCCACTCTTCTTGGATGCACATCGCACCACAACCGCAGTCACCTGCGGAGCAGCCAGAACTGTATTCGAAGGAAGAAAAATAAAAAAAGTTTTAAAAAAGTAATATCTACAACAATGAATTCAAAATGGACAAATATTTACATTTCCTTTTAAATCAGGACAAAAATTAATTCAAAGCCCAGTCATGTCATTTCAAAACAAATGTTAAAGCCAAAGACAGAAAAAAGCCCTTGGAATAAATGTATAACAACGATAATTCATATTTAACCCATTGTATCTCTCCTGCACACAACCAAGTCGCACTTCAGAAAGCATCCCGCTACCTAAATGGAGTAGCAGAACTCTAAGCAGTGCATCTAAATGCAAACATTCTGCTATTAGTTGTGGCCATGCACTTTAAATCCTGAGCTACACAAACAGTTACAGAAAACAGTCAGTGTAGCCAACTGATATGAGCACAGCACTGAAATTCAGGACACTTGGAGTTTATCTTCCACTAACTCACTCAGTGAACTTGAGACAAGTCACAAATATTGTATGCCCCAGTTTTCCCCATCTGTGAAATGGGTATTAATACTTAATCTCAAATTGTGAGGTTTAGTTAGTGTCTGTAAAAATGCACAGTTTCATGATCAAGACCCTAATACAGGACAGTATTTAATTGCTGTCCTGAATCGGGATAAATTTAAGCACATGCCCTAGTAGCCAAGGCCTGGGTTTAAAAAATAAAGTTGTTACAGTAAGTGATTCGTCTTTCTCCTTCTTAGAACATGTCGCCTTTTCACATCACAAAGTTCTTCCATTAAAAACCAAATATACAAAATCCATTGTCAATAAATACATTCAAACATTTAAAATCAAGGAAGTCTGACCCTTTTGTGAATTCTACTTCATAAGAAGTGTCCTGGATATAATTAGTTCTTTTTCAAACAATCAACAGCCAGTTTCCCTTTACTCTAAATCCTTCTATTCAGATGTCTAAGTAGTGTGTTACTGAACCGTGGTTGCCACAAGTGTCTCATTTCCTTATTCAAAAATAGCAATAGCACATTATAACACATACTTTGCAAATCACAAAGATTTGGGGGGAGGATGTCTTTATAAAGAACAATGTATTACATTTGTTTAGAATACATTAAGTAAAAGAAAGGGGCTGTGACTTAGAGAAATAGCAGCGGAATGGGGAAAGAAAATAATGGGATTATAGAGCTCCTGGCAGAGTATTTTTACTAGATTGGGATTAAATTTAATCCTTATCTAAGAAACTAACTACCTTTGTTTGATCTCCAATGTAATTATTTTATATTTTAAATCATACTGTGCACTGGTACAGTATCTCATGTGAGGACATCAAAGCACTTTACAAATATCAGTTAAAACCACATCACATCAAGTGTAGTAGGAAAGTATTTACATTTTATAGATGGGTAAACTAAAACACAAAGCTTAAGGGATTTGCTCAAACTCACTATGAACTGGTGACAGAATTCAGAAGTTTTGAGCCCCTCCTGGAGAATGCCCTGTCAGCAGCTCTCTGTTTTTTATTAGGAGAGGATTTTAAGCTTGAGCACCACTGCTGACTGTAAATGGAGCAGCACAGCACAGAGAGAGTGGCAGTCTCACAAATGAGCAGATCCCCACGTTATTTAGGTTTAGTTTGCTTCATTTTGGTCAAAACCAGCCTCTTAAACTCCATGTGAAACCCAAACAGCAGTCAGTGCACATCACAGACACACAGAAAATGAAACTACAAGTCATTGGTCTGACTTCCAGCCATCTCATTTGCCCCAGGCTTGCCCTCATAGTAACAGCAGCGAAGGTTCCATGGCCTCTTATGAAAAATTCTGAGACTCAATCACGTGATGTGGTGGTTGGAAATGTGTGTGAAATCTCCTGGGTGAAACAATGCCAGGCCCCCTACTTCAAAAAATTTCCAGTCCAATACACCATCTTCTTCCTCCAAGTCCCTGTTTTCTTCCACTTTAGCCCAGCGCCTATCAACCCAGTACAGTTCCCTTTCCATAATATTTGACGGACTCTCCCCTAGGTGGCTTCTCTACCAGGCAGCTGTCCCTCAAACTGCAATAGAGACTGGTGTCCTATTGCCTCTGGCTATAAGATGGTGAGTTGAAAGTTTACAGGGGGCTTTTTTCCTTTTTGTTGGGGGGGGATGGGGCCCTGCAGTGAAAATTGGTTTTAGAGGCCTGCTCAAAAATGTTAAGATCAGCCTCCAGCCTAAGGCCAAGCTGGCTGCTGCATACTAAAGCAGTTGTTGCACCACTGAGCCCCCACCCCCGTAAATCCTGTGGTCCCTGCTACAAAAGGAACTTCCCTCCTGTGTCTACCAGCCAGTGGACATGGGGGACACACTATACAATCCCCTGTTGGCCACTCCAGGAGCGCAAAAGAGGCGGTGGTGACGTTCATGCTGCTGCTCTATCAAAAGGAAGCCCTGCAGCTGCTGCAACCCTATGGTCCGTACCTCCTCAGATCCAGCTTTGAATCTGAACAGGGAGCTCACATTTGAGAGCGAAACTAGCAGCCACTCCCTGATCCAGGCTTCCTATAGCCAAAGCTTCCTAACCCCAGCTGACCAACTCCTCCACCTGACTTGCCCCACATGTTAAGCAGGGGAGACCATCCATTTTAAGAACCAGTGGCCCCATCTGACCTCCTAGCCCAAAACCAGTTTCAAAGAGAAATGGAGATTAGGAAGTGGGCATGCTGTGGATGGCAGGGAGGGAAAGGGGCAACAGACTTTTTTAAATGAGAACTCGGATTTTCCTTTTGGGGCACAAAGGCTGCTACGTTAAAGGGCCCACCTGAACCCATTCCAATTCATCAGTTAACAGTAAAAAAAAATAAACCTGACCTGGTGCAGAAGGATTCCCTACTACACACTATTCAAGAGGCCAATGAGTGTAAAACCAAAGTAACTCCACTGAAGTCAATATGCAACCAGGGATACGTAACATATGCCTACTTCCTCCCATGTCAGATCTTATGTACGTTGGGCCAGCTCTACTCTCAGGTAGACAGATGTAAGAACCAGAGTAACTTCAGTGACTTCACTAGTTCTAATGATGTCACTGGCAGCAGAACGAGCCCAACCCATAAGAACTGCCATGGGTAGATGTGCATGGCATAGAGATTTCAATGTCCCATACATGGCAGAACGATATACTTTTATTAGTACTATTAGCTCATCAGACTACTCTAACTTCAGATGCTCTGCTAGGGATCAGGGCATGATACAGAACTCTAGACAGAGTGCTCAATGGGCAAAAAAGGGGTAGCTAAAGAGAGAGGGAAGGAAGGGGGACAATGGCTGTTAATAATACCTAGCTCTTCTATAGTGCTTTTTATCCACTGACCTCAAAGTGCTTTACAAAGGTATCTGGCACCTATGGGCACATGTACAACCTTGTCGCTAGATCACAGCTGGTACCCAGTCCACAACTACCTCTCTGTGCCACCCTTCCTGAGATCATCCACGTTTTCGACTTTCATTGGCCCCAACATCACTTCTGAAGGCCTAGGCAGCCTCCCGTTAGGCTGTAACCACTACACACCTGTGACACAAAGAGATGGCGCCACAACAGCCCCCCTGCCCGCTTCTGGTACTACGAGCCCACAGGCTAGTGAGCGGGCTCGGGGGCTCACGGCCTTCCACACACACAAGGGCGGCGGGCGCACCCGGGGAAAGGGCGATTTCCTACCCCCGCCTGGGCTGCACTTAGATCAGGGTGGGCGAGGCCCCCCCAGCCCCCTGAGTCCCCCCCCGCTGCCTCGCCCCAGACGGACCCCGCCTCTAACTCTCCGCTTCCCAGGGCCAAGCCCTGCCCCCAGCCCCGTCTCCCCCAGGTCTCTCCTCCCGGGTGCGGACGCGCTCCCCTCCCCCGCGACTCACGCAGCCTGTTCACCGCCACCAAGCCCCGCAGTCGCCCCAGCTCCGCCATCTTCCTGCACCACCGCTTCCGCTTCCGGGGGGGACGGCTTCCGCTTCCGGCGCAAGATTTCCGGTCAGAGACGGAGAGGAGGCGGAGGCGGCCGGTTTCAATGTGAGGGCGGGGCCAGAGCAAAGGCCGCGGCCAAGACTCGGACGCCTGGGTTCTCTCCGCGGGGGTCTGTGGGCGTGGGGAGACGGCGGCACGGACCCTCCCCGGGTCGCCTCAGCGGGCGGGCGGCTCCCTCGGCCATCGCCTCTCCGCGGACTTGGCCCCCTGTGTCCCCCCAGCCCGCCTCGGGGGTATCCTGCGCTCACGGGGAACCCGCCCTGGCGGCTCGTGCCGGGGGGAGAGGCCCCTCCTGGCCGTCAATTGGCGTATTGCTCTGGGTCTTGAAGCCCGAGATCTAGTCGCACCTCTCTGCGGAATTAGGTTGTGGCTGGTCAGGAAGTTACCCGGCCCCTTCAGGGTCCCCGCCACAGCCTGGGGACTGTCTGTAGCCGGCTCCTCATTGCTCTGCTTCCCGTTCCTAGATGCTGCGTGCAGCTCGTTAGAAGGCACTGACTGACCACGATGTCCTTGGAGTCGGATGAGGGCGACGTCGAGGACCTGCCAAACTTCACTTTCCTAAAGCAACAGCCTCCTGCGGTAAAAAGCAGCAGCAGCCGCCGCTGGCAGCCTCCTTCAGAGGAGAGAGTTGTGGTGGTCTGCAGCTCTGACTCTGAGGAGTCCTCTCCTCCTTCCCCGGGGTTGGAAAAGTTCCCTGGCAGCCAGGATTCAGACCGAGCCAGCTCTTGTAAGGATGTGATTGCAAGGCTAAGCAGCGAGAGTGAGGAGGAAGAGGAGATAATCCCCTTGTCTGAAAGGCTAAGGGGGAAATTGGTGAACAACAAGTCCTCCAAAACTAGTATTTTGCTTTCTGAGGCCCAGCAACTGAGTAGCTGTGATGCAGTGTGTAAAGCTAGCGGTACTGTGCTCCATCAGAACTATGAACAAGATGTTACTGACTGCAGAGAACAGTTGCTGCCAAAGGCTTCTGACACCCAGACAAGAACCCCTGGCTTATCCTGGGAAGTGTCAGATAGTGACCAAGATGATGCCATACAGGATTCCAAGAGGATACCTTTGCACCAGCCTCTAGTTTGTCTGTCAGACTCTCCAGCCCGGAGTAGCAGGTCTCTGGTGGCACAGGCAAGTTCAGAAATGTCCCCTCCTCAGAAGAAGTCAAAACACAGCCAGGAGGAGAGAGAGAGGGCTCGTCAGGCTGTGTTGCAGAGGAGGAGAGAGCGGGAAGTGCAGAAGGGGCAGCGGGAGCAGGAGCGAGAGAGGAAAAAGGCACTTGCCAATATGCTGAAGGCCCAGCGACCAGAAGAGTGCCTGAAATACATAACAGTGGTGCTGGATCCAGGTAGCATTCCTTACCTTTTTTTTCAGCCTTGAATTAAATGACAGCCCTCATTGTGGACCCCTGACCTTTGCACCCATCTCAGTTCTCTTACAGGTAGAAGGTGGTGGGCAAGTCCTTAGTGCTTTGCAGTCCATGAACTGTGGCTGTGTGATTGAGAGTCAGGCTGTTCCCTGTAGCATCACCTGGAGGAGGAGGAGGGCTGGGTCATCTCAGGTAGGGGACCACAATGTCTGAAGTTTACACCTTTTTCTTCCTCTTTGCTTAGCACGTGGGGTTGTGTTGCCTGGTGATCTGCAGTTACTGGTGGTAGCCTTGTGTCTGTCTGTGAGCTACTGAGAGAATCTTAAAATGAGACTGACTTATTTTTGGTCTTTCCCTGGCATGCAAAACTTCATTTCCCACTTGTTCTCACTAGCTCTTCTTCTCCATACTATCAGGTATCAGGGGATAGCCGTGTTAGTCTGTATCCACAAAAATAACAAGGATACAGTAACAATAACAATAAGGGGGCACCTTAAAGACAGATTTATTTGAGCATAAGCTTTCGTGGTAAAAAAACCCCACTTCTGGTTTTTACCCATGAAAGCTTATGCTCAAATAAATCTGTTAGTCTTTAAGGTGTCACCGGACTCCTTGTTGTTTCTCCATACTGTGTAACTAAAAACTCCAAGACTTACCTTTCCCATCTCATCTCTTTTCCAGTCCCAGTAACTCTGGCTACTTTCTTCTCAATCTTCCTCTGAGCCACCTTTATCATTTCTGAAGGAAGATTTGTTTCCTCTGTTTGGAGTGCCACAGAATTCTGCTCCCAGATGTACCTGTCTTTGTTTCTTATTTCTGTGATCCCACCCCCAGGTTTAACCTTTGGCATTATTTCTAGTGAGATAACACCCATTTCTACACCTGATTTGACACTGTCTAACTGCTTGCTATGGTTCTGTCAGCTCCTGGTTGACTTTACTGCTGAATGCTTCAGAAATTAGTCTTCCTCCTGCGTTAAAACTCCTTTAGTGATTTCAGAGACGTGGAATAAACCTGGACCATAAGCCTTGGTTGCCAGGGCAGAAATCTTGGAATGTTATCTTTCATCTGAACTCTTTCTGTTTTGCCTCTCCCTTGAGACAGTGCCAGTCCTTGTCTTGGCCTTACTCCTCTGAAATGCTTAACTGCACCTTTATTCCCATTCTGGATTATTCTAAATCCCTCTCTTATGGTCTTCTTAAATCTCAGCTATGCTCTAGCCAGACTACTTTTCCTCCCAGAAGTGGAACCGTTACATCCCCATCCTCCATGCTACCTTTGCGGACTTCTTTTCCATCTTTGAATTCAATTTGAAATTCCTTTGCTGGTATTCAGACTTATCCATAGACATTCTCTCCACAGAACTTCTGACCTTGTGCCCATCTACTTCCCCAATCACTCACTCCTCTCTCTTGTTCTCATCCCTCTCCAGAAGGGTAGCTGTTGTTCACTTTGATCTGGAACTTGTTCCCCTCACTCCAGGCCACTGTCCCACTTCCCCTTGTTGAATCTTTCCTACTAGTGACTCTCTGTAACACAGATTGATACGATCTATTAATCCTATATAAACACAATGAATTGTCCATGTCCTCAAACCCTTCTTTCTGCTGAGCTCTCTTAATGTTCTCCACTTTGGTGTCACGTTTCTCTGCTCTCTACAGCCACACTGGTCTCTTGCTGTTCCCAGCCTTTTGCATGCTCTTGCTCTCAGATTACTAATAAACTGATGCCGCATGTGCACTATAAAACTCATCAGCAGTCTGAGTAACTCTGCCCTTCTGCCTCCTTTTAGTGACCGTGGCAATGAGCAGGAGCATCAACTTAAGGGAGATGGGTCATTAACAAGCTCTCAGACTGAAGTGTTTCATCTGTGGCTAAAACACTGGATATACGTGAAGCTAGGATCAGAATAGGATCGCTTTCATAAATACCTTGAATTCAGTACATATTCAACTCTGGGCAGGTTGAAGAAGGCAACTGGATAGAAGAACCCAATATCCTGGTTCTGCTTCGCCTGGAGGATTTTGTATCCATGATCTACGGTTACAGGCAGGTGAGGCTGCTCGTGGTTTCTGTGTGCTGTCCAAACGTGCCTTGCTCAAACAGTTGGGTTACCCATTTCTCTTTTTACAGCAGTTTGTTTTGGAGTCTTAAGGCAAATAATAATTTTCCTGTTTTAAAACCATATGAATGTCCAATGTTGTCAAGCCTTCCGAACTGGCGAAATGGAACCTCCCGCTCTCCCTCGCCTGCCCCATTGCTGCTGTATTGGAAGAAGGCCTTGGGAGTGCAGACATTTCTCTGCATGTTGAGGGGTTTGACTTAACTGCAGCGCTGGAACCTGAGACTTCAGTTCTGCAAGTGGATCGGCATGTGCAAACCCTTACATCTGCACAGTTCCAGTTGCAGGATTGGGGCCTGAGGTTGCTCTTTGCTAGTGTTGTCCTGGACTGCATGGTTCAAAGGGGGTTTAAATGCTATTTTCTGGCTCTCGTTGCAGGAAGTCCAGGGTGGCACAGAAGGACCGAAAGAGACTTTACGGAGCTTCGTAGCTTGTGTCATGGAGAGAGCTCCTAGGAAAACTCTAGCGCTGGCTGTAGTTGAACTAGAAAAATATTTCAGGTTAGAATTCTTCCTTCAGAGATTTCTATGCTGTTTCTTGCAGGATAAGTGCTGGCAATGGCCACAGCTAGAATGCCATAGGTGTTCTGCATCATTACTTGTATTTCCTGCTGGCGTAGGCTGAAACATAAAAAACAGCCGGAAGAGCCTCTGTAACCAGAGTTCCGTCACTGTTTTATACAGCATCTCCTACTGGGGACAGCTGGTAACTGTGAGCTCCCCAGCAGCCTGCACTCCTGCACCATTTCTACAATGCCTTCTGCTGGCACTGGAGCAGATGAGGACTCCTGGGCTATTCTTTCTCTTCTCAGATCTCACAAAGTTCAGTCCCGGAAGAAGCTGCGGCAGGCAGGGCTGAATGGAAGCCAAGTAGAAGGACAAAGGAAACGGAAAAAACGGAAGGAAAAGGGGGATTCTGGCCCAGAGCTGTCCAGGGTGGAAGTGGAAGAAGTGGGTAAACTTGGAGCATTGTTCTCCTTTCCTGGCTCTCTCGATGATTTAGCATTTTACCTGAGTAGACCCACTCTGTGGTGAGGGGAATTCAACACTCTTTAATACGTGAGTTTGTGGGTAGAACCTTTCAGCCTCAGCTCTCTACCATAGGCAAAGAGGAACTGACCTGAACATATCTAATAGAAACAGGATAGGCCCAGGGATTCTGATGTTAGGGAGAATCAGGTACTTGGTTTTTTGTCTCTTTTGGCTGTGTTGTGTCTAGGTGCATTCTCTCACACTCTCCTTGCTGCTAGAGAGGCAGCCTGAATGAGATGGAGACTTTCATCTGTGATTAGTTGCTAGAGGACCCTAATGCTGCACGTGCATCCCATCTCCCTGGAGACCAGGGTGTCTCCTCCATGTCAATTCCAGATGTCATTCCCTTTTTGTACATCTCTGATGTAACACCCATCATTCTTCACAGCCCAGTGGATAACCCTAACCAGAGTGTGTGCAGTAGGTGACAATGAACACTGGATGGGGTAAATGGTGCAAAACGGGCCTGTCCATGGAGACGTTAATC